GCTGGACAGAGGTCGGAAATAAACATAAATTATGCTTCCATAAAAGAGAGTCACCATGGTGAGATGGGAGCCACAGGTGGAGAAGGCTTTCCGCTTCCCAGCAACCGAGGGGATCTTAAGAACAGCAATGAGAATTCGTAGGTAAGAGATGACGACGCAAATAAAGGGTGTCACCAAGGTTATCAATCCTTCTGTGTTAATTACCATTTCATTGACAAATGTGGAGGAACAGGACAATTTCAATAGAGGGTTGATGTCACAGAGGAAGTGGTGGATAACATTGGAGTCACAGAAGATGAGACGATTAATCAGAAGAACTAGCAAAAGAGAATGGAGGTGAGAGATGGAGCAGGAGAAGGCCAGCAGCACGACACAGCGGCAGTGGCTCATGGTAGTGACATAGTAGAAGGGGTCACAGATGGCAACATAGCGGTCAATGGCCATGGCTGCCAGGAGGTAGCTTTCTGTGTTGGCAAAAGCCAAGAAGAAATACATTTGGGTCATACACTCAGCATAGGAGATGGTCTTCTTCTTTGACAGAAAGTTTACCAGCATTTTGGGAATGATGGTTGTTGTATAGCAAACATCAATGAAAGATAAGATGCTGAGGAAAAAATACATGGGTGTCTGGAGCCGAGTGTCTGAGTGGATGACCAGAATGATGAGCAAGTTCCCGACCACAGTGACGAGGTACATGGTGAGGAAGAGGACAAAAAGTGGCTTCTGGTCCTTGGGCCGGGAGGATAGTCCCAGGAGGATGAATTCAGTGACACTGCTGGTTTGATTGACCCTTTCCATGATCCTGTGTACACTAATGAATATAGAAAATCCTAGAATTTTCAGATCCACCAGTTTCAACTTATTTATATCTTTCCTTTTTCTCCTAGGAATTCTGTCAATGGTCTGTGATTCTGTCTTCCCTTACACAGTCCACAAAAATGAGTTGAATTGAATGATAAGTTGAATAATAAATAAATTTAACCTGCGTTAAAAGTAGGAATATGAGAGTGGATTTACCTTCAGAAAGAATCCTAGGTGGACCTCAGTGATACATATCTCTCTAGGTCCCCATCAATACGTATTTAGATATGTCAATTATGGCTCATCTCTCTATTGTATTTGCAAACAAAGCAAACATCTAAATTAATCAGGTAACTAAGGAATGCTGACATATGCACAAGTATTTTTCGTCACCCTTTCAGAGACAACATTTCATTCAAACCCTGCAAAAAGCTGTATTATATATGAACCTATTTATTAAAACATTCCTAGACGTTGGGGATTCATGCATTCACAATTAATCAACACCATTTTATTAACTACCCACTGTGAACCCAACACTGGGATTACAAAGATGAGTAATTCCCAGTTCTATTTTTAAGGTTGTTACAGTCAGTGGTGAAGACAAACCTTTAAACAATAAGTGCAACAAAATGCTGCAGGTGTAGGGATAGAGATACTGGAAAACAATATAGTGTAGTACAGTGTCTTTGCTAAGAGCACATATTTTGAAATCAGCCCCTTCACTTCTGCCTGTGTGGTCTTGGGCTAGTTACCTAACATCTCTGATCCTTGGTTTCCTCATCTGTAGTATGAAGTTAGTAAATACCTCCCTAAGGTTACATGGTAAAGATTAAATGGTATAATATTTTGCTGCACTTAGTACCATGCTTGAAACATGTTAAGTATTCAAGAAATTATTCTTCCTTTTTCCTCTTCTTTATCCTTTACTTTTTCTTTCTTTTCCTCTACTTCCTCTTCCTCCTTCTCCACTTCTTGCTTTACTTCTTCCTGCCAAAATCCTTTTGCCTATTAGGTGTCCCTGAATGTTCTTGAATACACATATTCTGTATTTTCTTTCTGCAAAATCTTGTAGCCTTCAAACGTAGTTTTCATTGTTTTATCACCCTTCACCTGAGTTTGTGAGACTTGGTAGGAGAAATATTTATTTGTGCTCTGTATGATTTGAAAGTGAGTATGCAATTAAGGGAAATAATAGTTATGTCTAAGACATATTGACCCCTTACTATGTGTCAGCCACTGGCTAAGTACTTTATGTTTACTACTTAAAACAACTCTTTGAGCTAGGTATCAATAGTATTCCCTTTGAATGGGTAAGGAAACTGAGATTAAAGGAGCTTGGTGCTTTTCTCAAGATCATGCAGTTGCAAAAGAGCCAGAGCCGGGATCCCAACCAAGATAGTATTAAACACTAAACAACACTTCTTTATGTATTAGTAAA